GAGGGGATTATTTAATTATGACAACCATTTGATTCTCAGCCAGCAGGTATTTACAAATAAATAACCGATCTATGAATCACGATCATCTTCCTCTGCTCATTAATGCATGGATCCTACTTCATCTTATTGTTCTTCTGGGGATGTCTGTGCTTGAACATAATAATATACTGCATTTCTTTAGAAAATACTGGCAAAGACTGCTATTCCATACTAGAGATGAGCTGGCCCTAGCTTGAGTCATCTGTCTTCTGTTTGACACAAGTGCTCTATCTCACTCATTGCCTCATGTTTCATAAGTGCTCATTTGCAAAATTTTCATCTGGTCGTTCATAAGCAACGCATGCTGTGTCATCTTCACGGTCACGTGAAGACAAATTTGGGAGGTTTTGTAGGAAGGAAATTTTAAGACATTCAAACACATGACTACATTCAGCCTTTTGGAAAAAAATCCTGCTTCTTAGAGAGAACAAGAAATAATTTTCTTTTCCAAGTAGAAATCTGAGTCTTATATGCCATTTAAAGAAAAAATTTACGAGGCCAGCTTGCTGACTTCAATAGAGGGTAATTTTTCATCAGCCAGGTCTGTCAAATCCATTTTACTTCACAAATTGGACAGCCGTATCTGTGTGTTCTCTATCAGCCATAAGAAAATGGTATTCTTTTGATTGGTAGCATTGGGTTTTATTTTTGGATGTTCTCTCTTCTTATCAAGGGTGAGGAAAAATATCTAGACAGTATTCAATATTTTTGGAAGCACATGATATTTACAAAAGACCAGACCAGAATAAAACTTAAAGCATTTGATAGACATTACTTCATGAGCCTTAGAACTTTCTTTGAGACGAAATAGAGGAGCAAAGGACAAATATTTATTGAAGGCCTGCTGAATGCCAGGAACCAGACTGGGTAATTTATACAGGTCATCTCCTTTAGTCCTCACAAACTCGATGAAATGGGTATTCTTATCTCCATTTGAAAGCTAAGAAAACTGAGCTAGGTGAGATGAGTAATTGGCCAAAAGTGACACAGAGGAGAAATGAAAAGGAACCAGGATTCGAATCCAGCTGTGGCTTCAAAACTCATGCTCTGAGTAGCTTACAATGAGTAAAAAATCTGGAAACAATCTAAATGGCAACACAGGAATTGATTACATCAACTGTAGTATATCCATACAAAGCAGTCATGGCAAATGACGGCATAGATCTATTTTTACTGACATGAAAAGATGTTAACATGTCAAGTAAACAGGGAAGATTATAAAAATGGAATATATGATCCCTTTCGAGATATACATATAATTTTATATATATTAGCATTTAAAAGTTATCACTGGGTGGTGGGATCTGAAGTTCTTCTTCTTGAAGTGTTTCTTCTCGTTATTCATTTATAGTTGGTCTACAATGACCTGGTATTACCTGGATGGCTGGAGGGATGGGTAGATAGACCGAGAGATACATAGATGTATAGATAGATATAGAATATATAAAAAGATACAGACAGAATTTAAAGATCCAGTGATTAAAAAAATAAGATTGTCAGCACATCTGATATTTGAAAAGCTCTACTTACACATTTCAAGAATATCTAATGGTCTGCAACATACTTAGAGTTCAGAAAAATATCCACAAAGCTATCTGTATATCAATATCTATCCATCTATACATGTATAGATATATCTTCTCATTATTTATATGTGTAAATGTACAGATATAGACAGAGAATGAGAATATCTATACATCTATAGACAGAATGAAAGAATACTATGATAAAGCAAATGTAGCAAAACGGTAACAATCAGGGAATGTTGGTAAAGGGTATACGGGAGCTCCTCGTGCTATTGTTTTAACTTTTCTGTAAGTCTGAATTACCTCAAAATTAAAAACTCTAAAGAATACATATTTTTATATTTCAAACACAAACATACGGTACAAGATGCTAATAATTTAAAAGAGACCCTACTCCACCATCTCTCTCCTTCTTGTGCTCTCCTTCTTGGTACTCGAAGCAAGAGCCCCAGGATCAATTTTTGGGTTCATCCTTTACAGTGCTTATCACAGAATAACTTGGGATTTCACTGGTCGTGTCTTTCCCAGAGCACAGAAATATGTGGGAAGCCTCCAATTTTGTTTCACAAGGCCAGCACAATCTTGATAACAGAACTGACAAACTTAGCACACAAAAGTCCATGGACCAATATGAATCATAAATATAGACACAAATGTACAAAACAAAATACTAGTTTATTCAATTCTATAGATGTCCTTAAAGAAAATAATAAACCATTCATAGGTAGAATTTATTTCAGGATTATGAGGTTAGTTCAGCATGAGAAAATCTACAGAAGTTGAGATACTCCATGTGAGTCTCAATAAAAAGTGAAGAGACATTTTCCCTGAACAATGCCTTTTTGCAAACTAAGAATAACAGAAAACAATAAAGAATACCTATTAGAAACAAAGGAAAAAAATATACTGGGTAGGCGGGAAATACTTGAGGCTTTACCACCCAAGCTAGGAAAAGAAAAATTACACCCATTATCATTGCTATTATTCAACACTTGTTCTAGAGGCTCTAGCAAATATAGCAAAAGGAGAGGAGAGACAAAAAATTGTAATTCCTTCTTAATTTTATGATTACCTACCTAAAAAAACCCCAAAGAAGCCACCAAAAGGTTATTAATAAGATAGTTCTAATCAGATCCAATATAGCTATATCAAAGCTTTACACCAGGCATCACGATTGGCAAACTTTTTCCATAACGGTCAGAGAGTAAATACTTTAGGCTTTGCAGGCTAAATGGTCTCTGTAGCAACTATTCAACTCTGTCATTGTAGCACAAAAGTAACCATTGATAATGCATAAATGGATGAATGTGGCTGTCTTGCAATAAAACTTTATTGCAAAAACAGGCAGTGGGCTGGAATTGACCCACAGGCCATAGTTTGCTGACCTACTTTATACCACAAAAAACAGTTGATGGAGAAAAGTAACCATTTAAAATAGCAAGAAAATATATAAAGACCTAGAAATAATTTTCTAAAGGGTGATTCTGCCATACGCATCAAAAATTAAACTGTGAATACTCTTTCAACATAACAATTCCATTTTTGGGAATTTATCCTACGGATACATTTAGAGAAAAACATAAAGATGTATACACATGGATATTTATTATAGTGTTATTTATAATAGGAAAAGATAACTACTGACATAATCCAAGTCTATGAGCAATACATCAGTTTTTAAAGCAGGGGACAGAGTAGCATGCATGATATCAGCTAATTTTTTAAATATATAGGTGTGTGTATGAGGCTATACGTGTGTGCCCACGCTTGGGGAAACACCTGGAAAGATATACCCAATTGCTTTATTAGTAGTTATTCCTAAGGGTGGACTTATGGGTGACTTTCTTCTTACTTTTTGCATGTTGTTTCTGCTCTTTTTTTATTTTCCCCATTGAGCTTGGAAATAAAATTTTTCATTTTTTAAAAGCAAGCAAACAAAAACCCTCATGCTGCTCTGAACAATTTACTCTTATTTCTATGAATTTTGGAGGAGCCAATATACAGCATCCTTCTCAAAGTACATCAATACTGATTTTTACATTAAGACACCCCCAGAAGGTTCTTTAAATTATTGTAACTGCTTCATACCCTGAAGATAGAAATCTTTTGGCTATAACTAATATAAAAGGAGCATTTATCTGGAAATCTTGTCTTTTTCTTATCCTTCAGTGATATTTCTGCATGCATGATTCTGTGTGTGTGCGTGTGCACACATCTCTATGTCTAGGAAGAAAAGAAGCCAGAGAAAGGAAACAGGAAATAGGCAAGAGCGGTAGGTGACGGACCAGCATGGGTTAATATCGTACAGGGAAATAAGTATTAGTAAATTCATTCCTGAAGTTCTTATTTATGGTTCTCTAGTATGGGAATCTCACCTGTTGAGTTAGGGGGAAAACTCTGACATTTTCAAAAATTCTCATTTATAATTTATGAAGACTAAGTTTGGGCCTCCTGGTAGAAAATATAAGTCCATATGATTCATATCCAACTGTGAAATTCAAGCACATTTTTCCTTACAATTGACAATAGGTATCTAATTATTTTGCCAATAGCTTCAGTTGTTATAATGTGTATGTGAATTGATATATGTTTAATTTCCATGTACTTAAAATCTTGGGGAGATGGGGAAGAAAGAAAAATGATTCTTTTAACTTCTCAGAAATTCTTTGTAGGTGTTACTGAACACGAGTTATATGGCATAAGTTATCAAAAAGAGGAAAAAAACGCATACTATTTTTGCCTCCTCTCAACAATGACCACCTTATCTGTCCTTGAAACTTCCCCACTTCCCTCCTGAAGTGGCTTTCTCCAATAGCTCAGCATAAAAATTAGATCCAATGCAAACAGAAGATCCCCTAGTCAAAGACATTCTCAACTTCTGAAGTGTTTGTGCAGGCACATGCGAGTACGTGTGTGTGAGCTTGTCGTTGCTAGAGAGGACATGGGAGAAAAAGACAGTCTCCCCGGAGCCAACTTCGAAGTTAACAGGAACAATATGACAAACACAAGGTCATCCAGAGTTCTCAAAAGTGATGTCAAAAGACAATGAGGTGTTAAGTACATTTTGTAAATCATGAAAATCCAGGACACAATGAGCAAGTGACAAAGTTTGCTCCAAACACAAGAGACAAATAAGTATATTAACATAATTTCCATTAACTATTCCTTTGCTCCCAACCTCAATCAAATGCTATTTACGCTTCAGCAGAACTTACTATTATCAAATGTGAAGATAACAACCTATGCTAGGCGTGCAATGAGATCTGGGAGACGAATTCCACAACTTTCCTTTCAATCTTCCATTTAAAAAAGATCTTGAAAATGAATTTAGTACAGTTAAAAAGGGAGCAGTCATGCTTCAAATCCAAAACTATGTTTTTCTTGTCAAATATTGCTCTCTGTAAAGGGCATCACCAAACCCCAGCAGAAACTTACCCTTCAACTTGAGGTCAACATTATGTCTCAGCCAAGGATAAACCCCATAGCTTGGCATATCTTCAGGAATTGGATTGCTGTCTATCCAGCCATCACAGGCGAACCGGAAGAAATTATCACAAGGATCCACAGACAGATTTACTTTACTCAAGATGGCAGCAGCTATTTAAAAAGAAAGTCATGGGATTAATGACAAGCACTGAACATTGTGTACTGTTCTCTTCCAAATTAAACAACGATTTCATATCAATCACTTCCCAAGCCTTGGCTTTTACATTTCCCCTCAAATGACTCCCTGAATCAACTTCACTTTACTAAATTATTGCATTCAGAGGGAGTGGATAAAAGTTTGGTAGTATTGTTGTTATTGTTTTTTGCAGGACTGCCCCTAACATCTGTGGGGCATGGGACAGGAATACAAACGGAGTGTCTGGTAAATTGTTTGCAAAGATGTGTGTGACATTTCCTTCCATCCCTCTCGCACTTCTGCAAGGTGACTCTGCCACTCTTCCCATCGAGCGGTAGGATCTATTTTTCCTGCCTTGAGTCTGGGCTGGCCTTGTGACTCGCTTTGATCAACAGAACACGGCAGAGTGATTTCTTGTGAGTTGCAAAGCTAGGCCTTAGGAGGCCTTGCACCTTCCATGGTAACTCCCTTTGAAAGGAGCCCTGAGTCTGCCCTTTGAAGAAGCCTCCTAGAGGAAGTAAGGCCACACGGAGAAGAACCAAGCCAGTAGCAACTCCCAGACATGTGACTGAGGCCATCATGGACCTTCCAGGCCAGGCGACCCTCCAGCTGAATGCAGCTATATGAATGAGCCTAGGCAGTATCAGCAGAAGAATCCCCACCTAACCCACGGAAGCACAAGAACCATTAATCACTCCCGTTTCAGGCCTCTAAGGTTTGGCGTAGTTTGTTCCACACAGCAAAGGCTAACTGAAACCGAGGCCCACGTGCCATAATCTAAATATTTAAAAGACATATTTACAATATACCTTCATAAAGACCTGGAAGGCCAGGTATGAATTCTTGAGCCCCTTGGTATTCAGTAAAACTCTCAGAGGTAGAAATCCCTGAAAGGCACCCACAAGGGCCCTAAAAGGAGGCTTGGGCCATCTAGCAGGGAATTCTAGGTTGTAGGAGAGGACTGCTGACTTGGCGCCAAAGACTCCTTAACTAGAAGAGAGGCATAGCCAGAGGAGGGCACAGTGAGGCATTCCAAATGCAGGGCCCAGGGCAGGAGCCCCTCTTGCCCAGGTCTAGGAGCAGAACGGAGTATTTGTATAAGTTAACAGAAAGACACAATGGACTTATCTACTGTTTTTTCCTCTTTCACAAGCCCACACACAATTACATATGGAAGATAATCAATAGGTAGGAAATTTGTGCATACTTAAATACATATCCATGAGCTTTAAAAAAAATCTTTCATTACAAAATGAGAAGGTTCCAAAATTCCTAATATTGAACTCCAACTCTCTTCCAACTGTCATATAATTGCTGGCTACCACTCTAGCAAAGATACGCACCAATTGACTAAAAAAAAAGGCAGTCAATATTTTTAATGACGTTGGAAAGATGATATTTTGGGTGTTTCACACTTTAATGAATGCCAGAATACATTTCTGTTTGAAGTAATGAAAACTCAAATGAGTTTTCAGCTAAATATGAACGAATTGCCAAAAAAAGTATAATCTGCATAAATTTAGATATGCATATTACTGTTTGGTTACATGTGTGGTTCTTCAGGTTTAAAATAAGGCTAGATATTCCTCTAGCCTAGACTTTCCATGAAAATTTCAAACAGCTTTCTGTCCTCAATGAATAATATACAAACATCCTAGTTTCTATAAGACTTCAAAATCCCCACCATTTTCAAACCTCTTCCCCCGTTAAAAAAAAATCAAAGCAAAAAATTGGCTTAAAAGTTTGATAAATTTAAAATTAGCTTACTATTTTCATCTTTCAGAATAAATTCAGTTGTCTCCAATTACATTTTTACTTACTGCTATTTTATCATTAATATTTAATATGCAAATATGCTAGGAAACACGAAACCTTCATCTCAGTTTGTATTTATAGTTATTCTGGCTGTGCAACCACAGAATGAATCTGCCATGTGACACCTCAGGGACATGGATCAGACAAGTTTCAGTCCCACACAATATTTACAGTCACACAGCGGAGCCCTCACACACGTTTTTATTCACATAAGCACATTGTTTCCTGGCCGCCTTCCCAAACCTCTCCCTGCCCCCAACCCTCAAATGTATCCATCTCCTCCGTATTCTTACAGGTACCTAGAAAACTGCAAGATCAGCTCTGACCTCAGCCCTGATGTAAAATGGGGGAATACTTCACTCACACTGAATTTGGAGCTGAGCCTGCTGAATGGGAAAATTCTAGCTTCAGGCTCCCAATCCATCATTCACGATTCACAGCTGGGCACATGGGCGTGCTTTCTGCAGGGGAACTGTGACTTCAAATTACAAGGGACCATGGTTGTCAAGACACCAAAACTCCTTTCCCCCTACTCAGCTCCACGGTGAAAACCCAAAGAATCTTGTTTTAATAAAAGAAATATGATGATGAAGGAAACCTGTGAAAGGTCAGGCTGTGTGTTCTCTCAAGTCACTGCATATAACGTAAAATGGTCATGCCATCTCCAGCCAGAGTTTATGTAGTAGAGGTGGAGGCACCACCCCACATTACCAGCCTGAGTTTTTCAGTTTAATCAGGGCTCAAAGGAGAGGGCGGTGGTGGTAATAATAAGATCATTAATATTGAGCATTTGCTCTGTGACAGGAACTATGCTAAGCCCTTTTCAGGCAGTATAGCATCATCACAGACTCTGGAGCCAGACCACCTGAGTTTGAATGCCAGCAACACCATGGAACAGCTATGCAACCTCAGGCAGGTTACTTGACCTCTCTGTGTCTTAGTTTCCTCACATGTAAAATGGGGATAATAATATCACCTCATAGGATCTTCATGAGAATTAAATGAGTAAATACACGTAAAATGCTTAGAACAGTGTCAGACATTGCCAAATAGATATGGTTGCCAGATAAAATACACGATACCTAGTGAAATTTGAATTTCAGATAAACGACTACTGCTCTAAGTATATACCAAATACTGCATGCAACATACACCAAAAAAACAGCAGTTGCTGCAATTTAACTGAGCATCCTCAAAGTAGGTATATAGCTAAATATGGCAACCATACATATAAATTTTGGCTGTTACAGTTCCACAAACACTTATCTGAAACTCTTGAGGCCAGATATATTTCAGAGCTCACGGATTTTTCAGATTTTAGAAAAGTAACAGTGCATATACCACGGATTATATAATACCTCCAGCAACGTCTAGAGTGGCACTCCTGAAGCAAGCACATTACTAATACTATAGAGAATATGTGCATGTTCTCATAAGTGGGATAAACAAAATCTAAAACAGCCTCACATGAGTTATGCACCAGTTTTGCTACCACAGGAATGTAGGCCGGGTCCAGGCTTGCCAACAGAGTTAAGATGCTCTCTGCGTTTGGGGTTAAGGAGCGGGCACTGTGGATCTGGATTAGTGCTACTACTGCCATCGTTATTTTCTTCTATTCTCACAACAAGCATAATAAGTAAAAACTGTTATTCCCATTTTACAGATGGTGAAACTCAGGCTTCAGATGGTTATGTACTTAGCCCAGGATCACGGGCCTTTTAAGCGGCCAGATCATGCTTCAAACTCAAGTCAGCCTTTCTGCCCTTATCCACTACCATTAGCATGCCTTTTCCTTGTTTTCTTTGTATTCTTTTCCTACCTCTCATTTCGAAAGAGGGATAAGGATAAAAGGAAATAGAGAAGAGGAAGAAACGAGAGTCACGCACCAGACGCACCTTAGAAAGGGCTGGCACTTGTTCAAAAAACGTCCAGAAAGCAAAGGCTTCAACGCGCCGCCCCACGCACGCGCCGCCCCACGCACGCGCCGCCCCACGCACGCGCCGCCCCACGCACGCGCCGCCCCACGCACGCGCCGCCCCACGCACGCGCCGCCCCACGCACGCGCCGTCCCACGCACGCGCCGCCCCACGCACGCGCCGCCCCACCCCCCCCGCGACGCACCCCCCGCCCCACGCACGCGCCGCCCCACGCACGCGCCGCCCCACGCACGCGCCGCCCCACGCACGCGCCGCCCCACGCACGCGCCGCCCCACGCACGCGCCGCCCCACGCACGCGCCGCCCACGCACGCGCCGCCCCACGCACGCGCCGCCCCACGCACGCGCCGCCCCACGCACGCGCCGCCCCACGCACGCGCCGCCCCACGCACGCGCCGCCCCACGCACGCGCCGCCCCACGCACGCGCCTTCGGCTTCCTGTTCAAGACGGTCCCTTGGCTGTAATTGTGTCTTTTGTACTTAACGGCTGCTGTGTAGCTCCCTGATCGTAGTGAGGGTCATGTTACACTAAAGAGGACTGTATTCTTGCTGAGCCTTTCACTACCGAAACAGCAAAATTATTTTTTTCAATATTAGCAATTCACCAACGTGAAAATTAAAAACGGGACAGCAAGGCAAAGCACATTAGCTGGCAGGAGGCGACATTATCAAATGTCATTCTGTAAGTTTTACTCTTGCGTTATTATGATTCGTAATAGAGACAAAACTCACAAAGTGACCCTCTATACAAAAAGTTGACTAAACCCAAATTGAAAATTTGAGTTCAAAAATTTCAATTTCACGCACCTGGAAGAACCCTACCACAGCAAAAGCACAAGGTGACAAAGTCTGCAACCTGTCCTCTGATTGTCCCACCTGGTGCCCCACCCAACTCCAGGTCATCCTCTCCCCACCGGAGAAACCCCTAGGTCACCCGCTCAAGCTGGGAACAACAAAGGGCCTGGGAACTTCCAAATCTTTCTCACCCTCACCAGAACGAGATCAAGAAGCTGAAATGGTTGTCTAGTCGCTAGACTCTAGCAGGTCTAGCGTTAGGGAAAAAGGGCAAGACGGGACCAGGGTCAGAGTTACCTGGCATGGTCTCGTGGCCCAGTTGGAGAGGAGCCACACATGAACTTGAAGCCCAGCCCTGTTGCTAACTCAGGATGTGACCCCAGGCAAGTTATTTCACTTCCAGAAGCCTACATTTCCCCTTCTGTAATTGGGCCTGGTGATAGCACTGACTTCATGGGGTTCTTACGTAGATTTTATGAGATAGCACGCGTAAGTCACTTAAAACATTGCCTGGTTAAAAAAACATAAAGACCACTTAAGAATGGGACAAAAAAAGACCTCTAATAACATGATTATCTAACCCATTACTTCTGTATAAGGCCTCCAAGTTTAAAAGTTCTTTTCACCCAAGTCTTTCCCATCTCAATAAATGCCGCCACCCAACCACCACCAAAAATCTAAGCATCCACCTTGGTTCTCTGCATTTGTCCCAGCCCACAGCCAAGCCTTTGGCAAGCCCTCTAGCTCCCAAACCGTCTAGTCTCCCTTTCCGTCTCTTGAATTCAAGACACCATCCATCACCTCTCACCTGGACCAAAATAACCTCCTGCCTGAGTGACCTTCCCATTCCTGCTCTCTATGGTCTCTTCTCCACCCAGAAAGGCTCCCCTGAGTCTAGCTCTCCACAGAGATCTTTTTAAATGCTAATAAGATCGTGTCCCTCTCTTTCTTAAAACCCTCCAGAGGCTTTTGAGCACACTTAGGAAAACCCCAACTCCCTGGCACCTTGGTTCCTCACTGATGCTCATCACCTGCACTCCACCCCTCACCCAGCAAACTCTTCCCATTCCTCAAGTCGGCCAAGCCCTTTCCTCTACGGGAACTTTGCCTCAGCTGTTCCCCACACCTGGAAAGCCCTTTCCTCCATGTTCACACAGCACATCCCTTCCCATCATTCAGGGTTACTTCAACATCATTTCCTCAATCGATCTAGCCATCGTATCACTTGCTATCACATTATTCTATTTTAATATTTTAATTTTCTGTATAACGTGTACCACCAGCTGATATTTTGTGTGTGCATTGATTGCCTGTGTGCTTAGTTGTCCTTCCCTTACCTGATCATTCTGCTTCACTGCTGTATTCCCAAAACCTAACTCGGTGCCTGTTGTGCAGTAAATATTTGGTGAATTAATTCGTTAATCTCTTAAGGCCAAGAGGAAAGTGAAAGGGCCGTGTGCTTAACTTTTCCTATGACTTCCCCTTTGGAAAACACACTAGGGTCCCTGTCCACTTAAAGAATGGGGGTGGAGGCTGGAATCTAGGTCCTGCAAATCTAGGCCCTGACCCTGGTTTATGGAGGGAATCTAAGAGCTGTGGCAAAACTGAGGCAACCTTAAGCACTCATCTTCACTTTGGGGTACCCACTGATACACGACCTGGTCACCTCAAGAAAAATGACTTGTAACGTGGCATAGAAGAACCCAAAGGGATTTCAGGTGACAATGGAAGCATGGATTTACAGAGGGTCCCTCCTTAGACGCAGACAGGTCAGACCAACTGACCAGAAGATACAGAAAAACTGTTAAGATAAATAGGAATCTATATCCCGCTGAGGCCATGGGAAGGCCAATGGTGTCACTCTTCAGTCTTAAGAGAGGCCACTCAGCCTTCCAAGCCCCTTTCAGATTTCCTTATAATGATTTGGAATACCACACAGCTGTTTTTTGCAAGGAACAAGAAGACAGGAAACCTATGCTCCACAACTTCACACCGAGACTTGAAAGTAAACTTAAAATTTCATCAAGATTACATTTGGTACTTGGTAAACCTCAAGCAAACAGAATACTAAAAATACTACCTGTTTTCTCTTCCACTCCCCAAGGTACCATAATTATGACTTGAAACAGGATGGAAAACTGACTTACCAGCTTCGATGCATTCTGGCTTGAGGCAGTACTCCTGTTTAGCTTGGAGACTTAAGAAACCTTGACTCACTGAAAAAACAGACCAAAATGAAAAAATGACTGGCTGGTAGCAGACTGCCGTCAGGTAACCCACCGTCAGGGGCATATGCAAGACATTTGATAGCAGTTCATTCTTTTCAGGATTGACACAGAATTCAAAACTCTGGTTGGCTCCAAATCACAGAACCGAACTCTGGTCACTAAGTGTCCTTGGTGAGACTCTTACTTGCTCTGAAACTCAGTTCTCTTGAACATAAGATGAGTGGGCACAACTAGACCAGTACTTCTCAGAGTGGGGTCCTGAGGCAGCAGCATCACCTGAGAGCTTATTAGAAATGCAAATTGCTGAGCCCCACCACAGACCCACTGAATCAGAAAACCTAGGGTGGGGCCAAGCCATCTGCGTTTGAACAAGCCCTCCAGGGGATTCTGATGCGCCCTCAAGTTTGAGAACCGCTGGGCTAGATGATCACTCAAGTCTCTTCCCCATCTCTGATTATCTGTGGTTTAAGTCTCGTAATTTCACTCTTTTTGTTTACAACTACAGTCTTGTTTTAGAGATGGGAAAATTGAAACTTATAAACTATGTCATTTGGAGCAAATCCAGAGTGGAAGGAGAAAGCTAGCATGTGGGGCATTTAAAATTCTGTATCTTATCTAAACCATCTATACAGATATGGCCCAAAAAGGTGGGGAGGGGGTAAAAATATACTGTATATAACTCAGTTATCTAGCAAGGGAGTCATTATCTGCCTGCCCTGTGCCCCACACCCCACACCCCCTCCTCCCACCAGGCCTGGCTTAGCTACCTGACAGATGCAGCTTTGTGGACCAAGCTTCCAACTACTTCCACCATAACAAAACAAAACAAAACAAAAACCTTGCAAGGTGGAAGCAGCTTTTTACCAATGGCTTAATTTCCCCCATCTGGCTGCAACATTATCTAAATGGATTTCTGCAGGAGTACAGACAGGTGCCCTATTTGTAAACTCCAGGTAGCACCTGGGCATTAGCAGATGTGAGTTTAGATTTCAGAGATATTTGTGGTAGCCGAGGAAGTTGTGGGGAATTCATGATTGCTGTACTCTGTGAGTGTAAATAAGGAATCATTTGGAGATGTGGTGGTGGGGAGATGGGCCGGGGCGAAGGGGCCAAGGCCTTTGTGCATCCTCAACCGAGCTGCAGGATCAGAAAGCATGGCGGTACCTTTATTTCTGCTCGAGATGGAAACCCTGTACATCACTTGCCAGTGTGGCAATTTGTATTATTTATTAGCCCGCATTCTAAGAGGAGCCTGCTTTTTCTTTGTTCTTTTCTCTACTGCCATCCTCCAAACAGCCTTTTTACTTGTGTTATATTATAGATTCAAGAAAACTGCCTATGAAACATCTCAGTCCTATTTTTAATAAAAGTATCCTAGCAAAAGGTGTGTTTTGATTTCTTTAAAAAGCAAAAAGAAAGGTAAAAATATACATGAGCCACATAAAGATTAGTATGGAATATTTCAATATGCCTGAGTGGTGGAACCATGGGGGAAATTTTCCCTTCAGTCTACTTCTGTATGTTTACCAAATGTCCTTTAATGAGCAAGTGTCAGTTTTTGTAATGGAAAAATAAAATTTGTTGTAAATAATAATATTTTATGATTCTGGACAATACCTTTGTGATACTAGCCTTATTTTATTTTAGAAAAAAGATAATGAAATAGTTAAAGACTTACTCCTTTCATGGTACAAACTTCCAGTTATAAAATAAATAGGTCATGAGGGTGTAATATACAGCATGGTGACTATAATTAATAATACTGTATTACATATTTGAAAGTTGATAAGAGGGTAGATCTTAAAAGTTCCCAGTGCACGAAAACAGAATGTAACTATGTGTGGTGATGGATGTTGACTAGACTTGTTGTGGTGATCATTTCACAATATATAAAATATTGAATCATTACATTGTACACCTGAAAGTTATATGTCAATTATATCTCAATAAAAAAAATTTAAGACATTCCTTTCATGGAAAATAGTTCTTGACTCAAAACATCTAAGGAAGCAGAACGAAAATCAAATAGCTTTACCTGATGATAGGTAAAGTGAAGGTTTAAATTAAATTAATTGGGACACAGACAGACCCAACCCCTCAAGGAAAAGCAGTATATCCATGGAGGTTACCTTAAGATCCTGCAAATGATTAAGGGTCAGCAAGCCCAGGAAATGTGAAGGTGTAAGTAAATGAAACAGAGACAACAATGAAAATAATTTTAATATAAAAAGTGAAAATGTTACTTATTACTGGTTAGGAGCTTTTAAAAAAACTTAAAGCAGTTTGGTTTCTCATTTTAGATTTCTATATAACCAGCAGAAATGACCTCAGATTGCAGTAGTCATCCACAGATGGAGAACATGAGAATGACCATAAATTGAGGGTCAGCATACTATAGCCCACAGGCCAAGTCCAGTCCACCACCTGTTTCTGTACAGCCAACAAGCTAAGAATGGGGTTTTTTTTAAGATTTTATTTTTTTTCTTTTTCTCCCCAAAGCTCCCCAGTACATAGTTGTATATTCTTCATTGTGGGTCCTTCTAGTTGTGGCATGTCGGACGCTGCCTCAGCGTGGCTTGATGAGCAGTGCCATGTCGGCGCCCAGGATTCGAACCAACGAAACCCTGGGCCGCCTGCAGCGGAGCGCGCGAACTTAACCACTCGGCCACGGGGCCAGCCCCTAAGAATGGTTTTTACCTCTTTTAATGGTTGGGAAAAAAAACCATAGTAAGAATAACATTTGGGGCCGGCCCGGTGGCGCAGCAGTTAAGTGTGCACGTTCCGCTTCGGCGGCCTGGGGTTCGCCAGTTTGGATCCCGGGTGCAGACATGACACCGCTTGGCAAGCCATGCTGTGGTAGGCATCCTACATATAAAGTAGAGGAAGATGGGCACAGATGTTAGCTCAGGGCCAGTCTTCCTCACCAAAAAGAGCAGGATTGGCAGCAGTTAGCTCAGGGCTAATCTTCCTCAAAAAAAAAAAAAGGAATAACATTTCATGAAAATGATCCGAAATTCAAATTTCAATGGCCAGAAATCAAATTGTATCAGAATACAGCCATGCCCATTTGTGAACGTATTGTTCATGGTTGCTTTTGTGCTACAACAGAGTCGAGTAGCTATAACATAGACAGAATGGCCCAGAAAGCTGAAAATATTTACTGTCTGGCCCTTTACAGAAAATGTTTGCCAACCATTGCTTTTGAGAAACACATTGTGGAGAAGAAGGGTGGGGGGAAGGAGGAAGAAAAGAAAGGACACTTTAAAATAAACTAGCTTAGGCATACAGTTCTACCTGATGTCTTAAATCCTAGCGCTCTAGGTCCTCTGAGACCACCCCAAGGCCAATGGCAATCACTCTTACTGTAGCGGGACTAAGGTTTAGAAAAGAGATTACCCCAGAGCCTAAAATACAAAGAAGAGGTAAAGAAGAATGCTAGAAATTGCAGACATGTGACTGAACGTGGACAGGCAGAAAAATATACCACAAAGTCAACCCAGAAACACCTTGAGGAGAAGAGGACATTAACCAGAATATTGTCATAAAGAGCACTGCCTGGCAAGTCCCAGATTTTCAGACAAGGACTTTGCTAGGTGCAGGGTGAAGATGGGTGGCAGAGCCTGGGGGACTAAGGCAGTGAAAAAGGGTAGGGGGAAGGGAGGGAGTCTGAAATAGTGCAGAGACATTTGACAAATTTTTTTTTTTTTTTTTTTTTTTTTTTTGCTGAGGAAGATTGGCCCTGAGCTAACATCTGTGCCCACCTTCCTCTATTTTCTATATGTGGGACACCTGCCACAGCATGGCCTGATAAGGGGTGGGTAGGTCCATGCCAGGGATCCAAACCGGCAAACCTCAGGCCTCTGAAGGGGAGCACACCAGCCTTAACTGCTTCACAACAAGGCCAGCCCCTACAATTTATTTTTCAATTTGAGAGTGTGCGTTTATTTTAAAGCAAATATCTCTGAATGTATACATGCAAAAGGAAGAAGGTGAAGCAATGCTTCTCAAACTTTAATTTGCAAATGAATCACCTGAGGATCTTGAGAAAATGTAGATTCTCAATCAGTAGGTCTGGGATGGAGCTCGGGCTCCCAAATGATGCTGATGCTGCTGGTTCACGAACCACACTTTGAGTAGCAAAGGTGTAGAGCAACCACATCCTTATTCTCTAATATCCTTAGAGCTCCTCTTAAAGATTCACGGCGAGGTTATTAGGCACACTAGAAATTTATTTTTTCTATTTTTCTATTTTATATGGGTAAGGCCTCCTTACTCATAACAGCATTGCCTGGCTTGATGAATTTTACTGTGCTCTAAAAACTTTAGAGCTGATCCCAAAGAATCATGTTCTCTCAAAGAACAAAGATTTGCTACCATCAAGAATATTCCAACGAATGTGTTACAGTCTCAGAATGTAATAAGAACAGTGGAATGTCAAAAAAGTTTCCAGCAGCAGTAACATCATTTAAAGGAGTCCATATTTTTGCCTAAACAATAATCATTTGGATTTTTAAGTTTGGGAGTGTTTGCAAGACACAAATAGTCTAATTTTGTAGTCACTTCTCACATAGTATGTGGTCCCTCGGCATGCCCACATTGTCTTTTCTCTAGTTTTGCATTTCAGGATAGGACACTTGCCTAAACCCCAAGTACCAAGAAATCTCACAACAGTTTTCAAGAGCCACAAATTCAGCTGCAGGAGTAGGAGGTTTAGCTGTCGCAGAAAGCAACAAACCTATCTTATTTCCTAAATCGTCAGCCACAGAAAACATGGAAAGATGGTTTGCTCGTTTTAGCAGAGTTTTCAACCACACAACCCTAACCCTTTTCAAGTTTAATTACTGGTTTTCCCCTGCCAAGATAAACATGGCCTCCCGCATCCTGTATATGCCCAGGAATGTTTCCAAGCTTGCTCCATTTCAAACTGCACCTAGAATCTCCTAAGTACAGGGCTTGGTCCGACATCGCTTTCAAGCTAATGAAATAGTGTGGACTCTAAGAGAAAAATACAAAGGGTAATAGTGAAGGGCTCAGAACGCCTAAAACCTTAGAACATCCCTCTCCCCTCTCCAAGAAATTTTATTCGTTTTTATAGGAATAAGCTTTTATTAGCATATGTATTCTCTGGGTACATCATTCTTACCAAGAGTCATTAAAATAATTAGATCACAATACCTTTCAAATCTTGGGAGGAAAACCTCTGTTTTCCTTCATATTAATTTTTAAATCTAATAGAAAGGCAGAATTAAAATTTTATCCCACCAGAGTCACTGGATTAGAAAGGAGTTGAAGAATACCATTAAAGGTGCAGTTTTAAAGACTCATTTGTATTTTGTGAGTTAAATTTCATGATTCATTCAGGCAAACATTGACAAAAATCAAATGGAAAGAAATTCCAGCGTGGTTTTGATCACAATGTAAAGTCTTTCCTCACAAAATAAATGAAAGTATCTGACTATGAATTCATAAACACTCATTTTGCTAAATATAATGCATAAAATAATGTGTGCCCAGTGCAACCGAATCCTCCAGCCACTCGAAGCCACTTTACACCCATTTCGTATTCTAGACTAATGCGTTTGGTACTTGGGTGTATTTATTTATTTAGCCTCCTAAAGAAAAGGCTTCTTTCTATTTGCATATTTAATAGAAACTAAGGATACACCATCTACTAACACAAGCGAACAGCCTTCCACCTGCATCCTGACGAGGTTGCCAGAATAAAGCAGAAGGAAACTTCACTGCAGTCACCCAGCCCCTGGCCTCCAGGGCCCCACTTACCCAGAAAGAGGATCGTGCCCAGCGCCAGGGTGCCACCGATGGACACGATCAGGGCTATTCGAGTGCCTCTGTTGGCCGTCTTCCCAGTCTCCATGCTGCTCCCTGCTTCTGCCTCCATCAGGAAGGACGAAGAGGCCACGCAAGAAGAAAGTCGCTTTTCGTGGTTTGGTGGTTGGTCTCAAGAGTCTGTTAGGCGTTGACATCCAAGGTTTCTCTTGCTCTTCTACTCATGGACAGCTTAAAAAAATTCCCGTCAGGAAATCTGCCCTCGCCACCCTTTCTCAAATAGTTCTTCACAAATGAAATAAAAGAAACCCAAAATATTGGTTGCCTTGGCTTTCCCCCTGACCAGACAAAACAAACAGTGGTTGCTTTATCTTGGTGCTCTCCCCCCAGCAAAGTCCCTCTCAACCGATTGTTTGGCAGGCTCTTCTCTCAGGCGTTCCGAGTGTACATGTTTTACTATGTTGCTGAACAGATGTTTTAGCTATTTAAATGTATAGTCACTTGGGGAGGAAAAAATAATTGTCTTTATCAAAACTGGATTCTCGTCAAGCTCCCCCAAACCATGATAAGTTAGGTGGCAAGGATTCTCCGGACCCACTTTAAGATCTCAATGAATCATGTAATTCTTTTGCAATCATTATTCTGCTTGCTTGAATTGTCCTCATCGAAGATATTCTTTCAGTGTGCAGGTCCCTTTTTAAAGCCTTCTAAGAGTTCCTGGGATATCCTGGAGAATTTTATTTTAGGAACTTTGTGTATGACAGCATGTGCCAAAAATCAGAGTCATAGTCCAGTGCAGTGCAAAGTAGCAATTAAGACAACCTACAGAGGCTGATGGTTTGGACTGGAACTTTTTTTAAGGAAGAACAAAAAGCACTTCCCCTCTGTGGTGCTAAGAATTGTACAAAAGATGGGTAAGTGTTCAAATTAAGCTTATTAGCACCCACAAAACATATGATATTTTTCCCTGCATGTTTTGATGAAAATACACATCAAAAGTACATGCACCTGTGTATTTTGTCCTCCGAGTCCCACCAAGGCAGCTGTTGGTTAGTATGGTTTAGCACCCATTCCAGCAGATTCCCCAGGATGAATTCAAAGGCAACTGGCTTCACTGGAAAGACAGAGTAATGACTGGGTCTTTGATTTCTTTGATTATGCTGACGATTTAAATTATGAAAATCTGCTTTCTTCATAGGGAAGGGCAACTGATATTCCAATCTATTGAAATGATTAAAATTTTATTATCCAATGATATAGATGTCATTAATTGGCAGCACAAGTACTACCTACCTGTTTTTGTATGACTGGAGGTCATAGCACAGTGGAAGTGAGGGTGGAGGATTCAGCTACATCTAGAAATCAGTGGAGCACTTTTCTCGTGCAAAACTTGTGCCCATGGCCCTGGGAGTCACGCAGAGCTCAGCAGATGCTGATGAGCCCAGGATAACATGGCCACATGTTCACGGTCCTATCTGGCTGGTCTTGGTCAGGACTTAGATTCTTAGCATGGGATTCTCCTAAGGTTTTAGATTTATTCCGTAACATATCCTACCTTACTTTCTGTTCATTTCATGTTGCCCCAGAGTCAGAAAAGCATAAGCGTTTGTCCAATTATGACATCATGGTAGATATTATGTGCTCAATGGCTGTTGATGCTATTTTGTTGTTGTTGCTATTCCATAACACATCCTAACAGGACTTTGGCTCCTAGGATGGGATTCTCCCAAGGGGTTTTGGACTTGACTCCATAATATCTCTTAGACTATGAGCACCATGAATCCAGGAATCACGTCCATCAAGTTCGATGCAGCAGCCCCAGCATCTACAGTTTCTTGCACATAACAGTGAAGGGAGAAATAAGAGCAACAAAAATCATCCAAGTTAGCACTAGCCATTTGCTCTTAAAAAGAAGCTTCAGGAACCTCAGACACTGGTGTCTGGGGGTTTTTCAGCCTCTTAATTCCTTCCCAATCCTCAAGTGATAATGATACTTTACATGGGCATAGCACTTTCATAGCCCATTTTAACCTCGTGGTAAACCTATATACTTGATAGCAAAAGTATTTTCATCTCTGTTTTGCAAATGAGAACACTGAGAACTAAGGACTGGCCTCAAGTGGCACAGGAAAATCAGGAACTGGAAAGATAGCGAGGGAGGTCACTGCCGTATCCCGCTGCGTCTTCAGCTTGACAAAGCTCCCTGTGCACGGGGGAGAGCACATCCACTCCAGCACAACACCAGGACCCACATCTTCCCTCTTTCCTTCCTTCTCCAAATCTCCTCACACCCTTCTGGGTCCAGATTGACATGCAGTGGTGGCCATGGGTTGCCACCCAGAGCAGCCTTCACTCTCCTTGGCCTGGCAATTTCCCCAGAGGTGAGGGCAATTGGGGCTTTCTCTGAAGTGCAACTATCCATCACTTAGTGACATGAATTCATTTCTGAACACTCAACTGCTAAGTGAAAAGCCATTAACCAAAAAGAAAATTTCCATTAATTGTAATAGGTAATTATGATGCATTCCACCCCACTTAAGATATGCAAATGCAGATAGAAAAATATATTAATTGAACAATGAAAACAAGTCTATAAAAGTAATAAGCTGCTTTCAAGATGTGGAAAATAAATACTTTGTGTAATGTAATGAAGGTTTATTTTACTCATCAAAGGAATAAAAGAAGACTTAAGAATGGTGGAAATTGGCAAAGGAAAGGGTGCAAGTGAATCATTCATTATAAGGTGCATTCTTCATTCTGTGCTATTTTCTGCCTTAATTTTTCAACCTTTTGGGAGATGATAATTATCTTGCACTCAAACTGCACTTAAAGTTGTAGCACAGAAAAAAACCCTTTAGGGCAAAATAAAGATGTTCAAAGCCCAGAGAAATAATGAGTGCTCACAAAAGATAAAAGCAAGGGTCTGCAAACTAGGGCACGTGGACCAAATCTGGCCCACCATCTGTTTTTGTAAATAAAGTTTTACTGGGACAAAGTCACGGCCATTTGTTTACGTATTGTATATGGTTGCTTTCATGCTACAACGTCAGAGTTGAGTAGTTTTTCAACACTGACGTTATGGCCTCTGAAGCTTGGAATACTTACTCTGTGGCCCTTTAGAGAGAAAGTTTACTGACCCCTGAACTAAAGAGTAGTCGAAGATGCTGCCTCTTCACCCCATCTCCATGGCAGACATAAACAAAGGAAAACGTTCATCCACACTTCACCTGCTTCTCGAAATCATTCCATTCCATTCGATGTTCCCTGAATACAAACTATTGTGTCAGGGAAACCGGTCAATGTGTCTTTGCCTGAAACTGTAATATTGAAACTACAGCATATTATTTCGTGTGTTTTGTGGTGAAAATTCATTATTCTGGGATAAAAAAGGTTGGGGGAGTTGTCTAAAAAAAATTGTATCATTTCTCAAGTGCTGTGAAAATTGGTGAACTGAAAAGTCACTGTGCAGGTAGGTCTGTTAATAGTCTGGTCTGCACCCACCCAATTGTTTCAGTTAAGACCCTCCAGGGCTATCTTGAGCCTTAACCAAAATCAGTGAATCAACAGAAGTTTCTTGAGCATTTCTCAGATGCCTGGCCCTGTGCAAGGCCCTGTGAGGGAAGATGAAGAAGCCATGCCAGAGATTCCGGACTGGTAAACTGGCCTTGGGCAGGTGAATATGCAAAACCCTTGGCAACTTAGGGAACACTAAAGCACGCAGGCCTGGCCCTGAGGGCGGTAAGCATCCAGAGAAATAGAAATCCCTGAGCCTAGATTTGTTGGGAAGACTTCCAGCAGGAGGACCTGCAAGAAAGGACAGCTTGAGGGAAAAAAGGAAGGCTTTGGGGTGGGCCAAAGCCGACCCTGAGATAGGACTTGCCTGGGCATTTAGGGCTCTCCCTGTGGGAGTCACAGGTAAGAACATTTATCCAGAGAGAACTGAATCCTGCAACCTCAGCCCAACTTCAGTGGCAGGGATAACGACTGAAGCCAAGTCTTTCTGCTAGACGTGAGTGCATCTGGTCATTATTTGGATGCGTGGGGTCCTCTGTTTCAGGCAGTAAAATCCCATGTGGGCCACAATTTCAGTCAGAAAGAAGGAAATGATTCAAATCCTGAAAAATGTGTTCATCCATCCACTGGAAGGAGGAGGGAGGGAGCGGAGGAGAGGGAGAGGAGAGCTACACGCTGAAAACTCAGAGCTGGGGGCTGTGGCGGGGCTTTGTTATTTGTTGGCAAGTCCTTCGGACTAGGGAGGGTTCAAGTCCCAGGCCTTCCGCTAATGAGACTCATTACTTACATTATATCTGATCTTTTCAAACATCTTCCTTAGTTAGGTGTTCTATCTCCTTTCACGGATGAGGAAACTGAAGTCTGGAGCTATTAAGTGATTTGCCCAAGGTCACACAGCAGGTATTTGTCTTAAGGTCTGAGGGGTTTCAAATTCCAACCTCTTTTCTCTCTGCCATGTTACTTGATAAATTTGCTTATCTACCTCAGGTAATTAGTGAAGGTAGGTATAGCGTGTCAAAATAACCGAGCAGGAGGAAAAGCGATAAACTGTGCTTCCTCTAATTCTCTTGTTGAAAAGACTAATTGTCAGGTTTTATTTCCTTAACAGGAACAGCAGCCATCGGTTAATGTGGGGGAAAAGTTTTTCCATTGGGGAACAAAAATAGCAACACACAAACTATCTCCTGATTTGTGGCTGCTGGTAATTGGACATTAGGAAGGACACATACATTTGAAAGGCTATCTATCCTTGTATTCTACTTGTTTGTTTCTGAGACTAAGGTGGGGTTTTATTCCTTGATATTCGAACCTCCTTGGCCATACAGCTACTATTTCTTCAGCTGCACTCACTTTATATGCATTATTATCAGTCCCTAAAGCAGTCCTATGATAAGGAATCTTTTGCTGTGTTTTATTGATAAGGACACTGAAGCTGGCAGAGGAGAAGTAATAGTCCCAAGGTCACATGATGGGTAAATGACAGAGCCCAGTTGGAACTCAAATCTATCTGGTTCCCGTTTTGAAATGTAACTGGGATTTGTTTTAATGAGGGATGGTAAGATGACAGACACAGAGACAGCCTTTGAAAGAAGAGTTTATTACTCACAGTTTTCAAGAGGAAGGGGCATGCTGCACAGGGCCACGTGCAGAAACACCAGGGTCAATCAGGTGGCAGAAGGTGTGAGGGGAAAGCATGGGCCAAAGCCTTAATTGTGGGTTTTGAGGTATGAATAAATGGGCAAGGCAGGATAGGCAGCTGAGCAGGCTTAGGATTGGTGGTTATAGTTAGAATAATTTCGGCAGGTTCTGGTCTATGGGAGTGGTCTCTAGTTGTCCCGTACCAGGCCTGGGGTGATTTAGCGCAGGGAGTAGTTTCTGGACTGAGGAGCCTGATAAGAGGAGAGGGTTGGGGTATGGACTCGTGCGATTAGTTGGTTTGTATTTCAAAGGCATGCTGGAAGGGAAGTCATCTGCTATCTCCAGGAATTAGCTAACCCTCGGAAGGGCAGTCCCTCCCTGTATCCACAAGGCCACAAAGATGTCAAAGAATCACGAAATATAGAAAATAACATGATTAACACAGCTCCAAGACCCATAAGACTTTTTCCAAAGCATTCCGCTGCATAACACTTTTTAAAATGTAATAACTATTCATCCAACCAGTGCTTACATGCTACATCCTCAGACTGAGCAGACCCACCCTGACCCTCAGTTAGACTACTAACCTACAGAAGTTGTATGCCTTTGATTAATTCCAGCCAACTGCTCAAGGATGGCTTA